AAGCTAATATTCGTGTGTAGTAAGGCCAGGTCCCAGGGGTGACCGTGCTGCCCCCTGGTGGCCAAATGATTACTGCTGTGCTCTGATTCTAGGTACCCTTCCTTCTGCTCTTTCCTGCCATACCTTGATGTAATCATTAAATTATAAAAGGGAAGCTGCCTAAGGATCCTAGAACCCATCCTCATCCTTCCTTCACTAGCAGATCCCCTCCCAGATGCCAGTAACCTGAAACCAGTCTGTCAGTAGTTGGGGCCCCCCAGCCTGTATGTACCTCGAGGCACCTGTTGCTTAGAGGCTATTCTCAGTCTCCAATCTTCCCCTACAGCTGTGCCCATGCCTCACAAGTATAATGATCATCATTTGAGTGGGGCACCTGTCCCCAAAGCCACCAGGCCACCTCAGGCCTTTACTCCCTTGTTGGGGCTTCAGCCTTCCCAGCTTCCGCCGCTCTGCTCTAGTCGGTCCCCTAGCCCAGGCCCACTGTCAACGACCCTTCTCTGAGCAACGAGATCCTGGCCCTGTGTCTCCACCTTTCTCTGGGCAATGGTTATACCCCTCATGGACTTTGGGCACCTGACCCTGGTTAGTGTCCTAAGCCTGCCCCAAGGCAGGGCTCAATGCAGTCACATGCCCCTTGGGCACTAACAGGACTTCCAAATGACCCTTGTAGTCCCAAACTCGATCTACCAGTCATAACTGTAACTAAAACTTCAGTGCACTGGCTACACCCAAGCTGTAAGCATACCAGCTATGTAACTAGCTGACCCCAGCACAACTTTAGGCCTTTACTTGTGACCTTCATTGCAGGCTGCTCTCTGCAAGTCTCTCAACTAGGGTCTTTTGGGTGAGAAGTTTCTTCCTGGTAGCTCACAGTCCTTGGGATAAGCAAGTCCCATCCAGCCACCTGGTAGAGTCCTTTTAGGGCTGAGCTCCTTCCCTGGCCGCCTGCAGGGCAGGACTGCCAACCTCTCTGCAGCTCTGGGCTCTTATACTTCCTAAGCCTTGACCTTGCAAATCTGATGACTCTCCTTACCACCTGCAGGGCTGACTCATCAGGGCATGCCATCCAGTCACTGTAGGGGTTTGCAATTAGTTACTGCTGCTTCCTTGTTCCCAGCAAGGTAAGGCTCTACTGTCTACCTGAGCAGCTTGCTCACCCGGGCCTTATTTCCTTAACCAGCTATAGGTGCTCCCCTTTCCTTAATGGGCTGATTCCTGCCTAGGTAAAAGGGCTTCCTCCCTGTTTAGTCCCTTGCATCTATCTTCTATTTATCTGCTGCAAGTTTTCCTTTAAAGTAACAGGAGTGTTAGCCTCCCTGTTACATTTTGACTTAAAACTTTGGCACATCTAAAAGACATTGCAGAAATCAGGATTTTTTTTAGCATTTTCTTTTCTTTATTAATTAGGCAGAAAATATTTCAAAACTCCATGTAGAAGACGTGGCAACTCCTCAAAGTCAATACCAACCCCATTTTGGCTTTGATAGAATTGGGTCTTTTTACCCCAGGTAAAGGAAAAAATGGCCAAAAAGGACCTCTTGGATCGTTAAGACTGGTCCTCTAGTTTGGTAGGTACCACAACATGCAGTTCCCTTTATAAACTTCTCACACTCCATCTTAGAAGTTGTTAGACTTTTTGCTGTCTGACTAGAAGTCTGTGCCACGCTCCATCATGGATGAGCAATTCAATCCATCCAATGCCAGTCCCAAGCCCAGAAAAAGGAGGAGGGCTAGTGTCAGGAAGGGCATCCAGCTGTAAAAACCTTTGCCAAATCATCATGATGAGGATCCAAGGAACAAACCTTGCTAGAGAATACCCTGTAGGTGATGTGCAGGATCGACGCCTAGATTCTATGGGAGATGGGCAAGGACTACCATACCAAGGACAAGTGCAGCCAAAGAAGCTAGTCAAAAGAAAGGACTTGAGAGTTGTGACACTCAATGTGGGGAGTATGATGAGGAGAAGTGAAGTGGCAGACTTGTTGGAAAGGAAGAAAGTGCATCTTGCATGCGTGCAGGAAACAAAGTGGAAAGGAAACAAAATGAGAGACTGGAAGAGGATTAAAACTTTTCTATAGTGGTGAAGACAAAAGAAATGGAGCTGAGGTCATCCTGTGCAAAGAACTGAAGGACAAAGTTTTGAAAGTTGAACAAAGAGAATCCAAGAAGTTTGTGAGCAAGTGCCACAGAAACCCAAGTCATGGTGACTGACATCAGCAAAATAGAGGTGAAAGAGCATTGAACAAAAGGAAGACAGGGAAAGTAACAGGACCTGTTGATATAGCAGTGGAAGTTTGGAAAGTCTTGGGGGAAGAAGGAATCGATATACTATGAAAGCTGTTTAAAGCAATATTTGCCATGGAGAAGATGCCAAATGAATGGAGTAGGAGTTTGTTGGTGCCAATATTCAAGCAGAAAGGTTATGTCCAGGATTGTGGCAACTATCAGGAAGTGAAATTGAGGTCTCAAACTTTTAAAGCATGGGAAACAGTGGTGGAGAATCAGTTAAGGACTGAGGTGGTCACTGGAAAAAGCCAGTATAGATTCATGCCAAGGAAAAGTACCATGGATACAGCTTTTGCAATAAAACAGATGATAGAGAAATACATGGAAGATGATAAAGGTATTTAGTTAGTTTTTATTGACCTGGAGAAAGCCTATGATAATGTACCCAGGGAGGAAATATGGGAGTGCCTGAGAGTTAAGGAGGTGCCAGAGAAATATGTCAGAACCATCAAGAACATGAATTAGAAACATACAACAAAAGTGAGTAGCAGTTCAGGAGAGACAAAGAGCTTTGGGGTGATGGTGGGCATACATATAGGGTCAGCTTTGAGCCCATTCCTGTTTGCGGGCATGATGGATGTGTTTACTTAGCAAATAAGGAGACCACACTGGAATATGATGTTTTTGGATAGCATGGTCATTCGCACTGAGAGTTTAGAGGAAGTGCAAGCTGGATTAGACCAATGGAGACAAGTGCTAGAGGGAAGAGGAACGAAAAATAGTCAATCCAAAATGGAATATATGCACTGTGTTTCTCTAAGGTACCTGATGTTGGAAGTGTGGTAGTTGAGAAACATGATAAAAAAGTTGACAAGTTCAAGTATCTGGGGTCAACTGTTCAGCAGAATGCTGAGCTAGACAAAGAGTTGAACCATCAAATAACAGCAGGGTGGATGAAATGGAAACTGGGGACGGGGTTATTATGCAACAGAAGAGCATCAGCGAAGCTGAAAGGGAAAGTCTACAAGACATGTGCATCCAGCATGATTGCATGGAGCAGAGATATGGCCCCTGAAGAAAACTCAAGAAGAGAGCCTGAACGTGACAGAGATGAGAATGCCCTAATGGATGTGTGGAGTGACGAAGATGGATAAAGTGAGTTATACTTACATCAGAGGAGAGGTGAAGCTAGTGGAAGCATCTGAGAAGGAACAAGAGAGGACTGGCATGGTACAGGCATGTTCAAAGGAGTTCAGAAGAATAGGTGGGAAACAAAGTTACCAGAATGGCTCAACCAGAGAGAAGGGGAAAAGGAAGACCAAAGATGAGATGGAGACATATAGTGGAGAGGGACATGAGAGAGAAAGAATTGGAAGAAGAAGATATGTATGACCAAAGACAGTGGCGAGCCAAAATCCACAACAGTGACCCCATTTAGATGGGACAAGTGAGGGAGATGGAGAGGGAGAGGGAAACAACTAGAAGTCTGTGTCAAAGTTTTCACTATAAACATTTGAGCAGTCAAATTTCCAGCCTCTGATCATGCAGAGTTGGGAGTGGGCCAGGACTATAGACCCTGGATTGTCAGGGGACACTAGGGAAATAGGCAGGAAACAAGGGCACAAAGAGGGGTATAGCCTCCTGCTTTTCCCTGTCAACATTGCAGCTGATGACCCTGGCTGACCTAGCCAGAACCACTCCTCCCTTGCTCCAGCCAGGGGCTGTGAAGAGTGGTTGCATGGGAAACAGGGCTTAACTGGGGGCAGTGGCACACAGTGTCCTCCTTCCAGCTCCTGCTACCTACCTGTCCACCTTCCTCTCTGGTGAGCTCAATGGTTGGCAGTGGGCACTGGAAGGAGGAACTTATAGGCCACCCCCACTGTCTCTGCTTAAGTCCATCTCCCTGCATAGCCATTCTCTGCATTTGAGCAAGAATGGGACAGGAATGGCTCTGGGGCTCTCCTCATGCCTGTGTCAGCCAGGGACAGTAGCAGGGGTACACATGTTCCTCCTTCCACAGTCTGGCCCCAGCCAGTGGGGGACACCTGCAGGCAAGAGGCAGGGAGCAGGCACCGGAAGGAAAAACCTGTACGCACCTGCCAATATCCCCTGAGGAGCCTGGCACCATTTATAGCCTCATCCTAGGGAAGGAGCAGCTGAGGAGAGCAGCAGCAGTGGCAGAAGGGAGATGCAGCCACACCAGTGCATGCCCTGTGTTCTCTCCTAAATGCCTGTACTGCCTGTCCTTGTTCTTTTTCTACAGGCAATGCCCCATGATGGGAAGGAGATGCAAATGTCTCCTACTGGTTATATTTTCTGTAGGGATATACTGGTGAATGGCAGGGACCAGAGTTCTACCACTGTAAGAAGTCAGTATTGGGTGTGTTAATGATGTAGAGGCAGGGAGGCAACTTCCCTAGCCTGATTAAATTACCTAGCAACTTATTAGTGTTTTTCCTGTTCTTTTCTTCCAAGTAGGAGCCAATGTTTCAAATTTGTTTGATTCAGC